CTTTTGATGTTGGCTTTGTAGATTTATTCTGTGTTGTGCAGGTGGTCACAATAAGAAGACTGGTTAATAATCTTTGTGCTCTTAAAAAAAAATACTCGTAGATATACATTTTACTGATCTGATCAAGTTAATTACCTGTGTTCTTTTTACACTGCTCTTACTGAACGCTTGGGTTTTTTTCTTTTTAAAGTTATCCAGTCTGAAGGCACCCATTCTTTATTTTACTCTCTGTTAGAAAATATTCTTATGACAAAGGTAAGACACTATTGATTGCATGTAGAAGTCTTTGAAGTGCCCTAATTAGACGTTGCCTAGTCTTCAGCTCTACAACAGAAGAGCAAGAAATGACTCAAGAAGGCAATATTAAAAAAGACTTCTTAATAGTTTTGAGCTCAGTTGAGGGCTCAGAATGTAGTAGATTTGGAGCTGTATTTTAACATTGTGTTTCGTGGTATGGAAGATTTGCTACTTATTTAAACTGGAGATTTGAAAACTGTTCTGTTTAAGGAATTTAAGTTAAAGTGTCTGCCCCTTAGAATGTATGTTAACTTTGAATAAGAATATATGGAAGTCACACCCAACTTGTTTCCTAGTTATTTTTCTTCCTAATCACTTCAGCTATGTCAGAAACCAGAGCCAGATTTGGGATAATTTTTTACCCCAGAGTTTTTACTCTGGTTCTAACCCATTTGACTTTCATGAAAGCAGAATTTATTCACAACCTAATCTCTAATATTACATTGGAATCTCCAAGTTTTAAACCTATCCCTCTGGCAGAAGATGTGTTTTGTGCTGAAGCTTTTGATACTGTTCCGATTCAGCAATGACCTTGCTGGGCCCACTAATGGGCCCACACTCCACCTTGGCCAGGAGACAAAGATCCACCTATAGCAATTCTTCTTTAATGGGATAAATATTTTTTTTTGTTATTTTTTCAGGTGACCATGTTGCTCTTTGGAAAATTGTGTTTTATGAATGCTTGAAAGAATTGTGCTGTTGTGTCATTTCATCAAGAAGTTATTTGTTCTTGGAAATGTTATTTAAAGGCTTAATCAAATGAGGAAATACCTCTGCTATTGCAGGCCAAAGTCTCTTAACTTTTATTTTTCACTTCATCTTTTTGATGCTGACTGAGTGGATTTTTTTTATTTTATTGAAACCGTTCAGATTTTGCTCAGACCTCCTTCAAGCGTCTTCAGATACAGGTATGAATCTCTTTAAGGAGATCCTGCCTAGAGTGAGGAAGATTCTTTCAACTGCTACCGCTTCTGATGACCATGCATTGCTTAATCTCATGCTGAAAGAAGATGTGATATCCAAGGAGTACCACCAAGCCTTGCTCCATGAAAAAGACAGGGAGGACCTCGCAAGGAAGATATCTCTGACATTTGTGGAAAAATCGGACCTGTACTTGAACACTTTGGTTCCCCTCTGTTGTTTAAACCTCTATGGCAGTAAGCCTCAAAACATGACAGATAATGAGCCAACAGGAAGCAAGTACATTTCCGGTAAATCAGCTTTTTTTGCTTTTTTGCTTTGTTAAAGATTTACTTTTGTTTATTGCATTTTGAGATTGCATTGTGGCATAGTGCAAAGTACGTCAGTGGAGAGCAGGTGGGGAAGAGAGCAGAATGTAGTGCAAGAACAGCTAAAAAGAGATCCACTCATTCAGGATAGCTACCGGATACCCATTTTCATAGCCAGGCCATAATAAAATGTGTTCTTTGCCACCTTTTGCAGAACCAGAAATGCAAAGTAGATTAAGGAGACCACGATAAGGTCAGTTCTTCTCAACTGACATACCAACCATTGATAATCTGAGTAGCATTTGTTCATGGCACATGCTGGTAACTCATATAGGGAAATCTCTTATCTTTTTCAATCACATATGGGAGGAATGCTCTCCACTTTAAATTCCAGATGTCTGTAAGCAACAAAGTTGCACTGTCTACAAGAGAGTGCTGCAGATTTAAGGAGGGGAAGTACTTAATGACTTACAAGGCCGGATTCAAGAGTTTTGAGGTTTTTAATGGGCAGCTGGAGAGATAAAAATGCTGACACCTTATAATTCTGAGGCAGTAAACTCATTTTTTACTCTGACCCACGAGAGGATTAATGTATATGTTGGAGAACAGGGATAGCTCTGGGACAATCCTAACATTGTCCATCCTGTGTAAAATGACAGAACCCCAGCTTAAATTATAGCATTCAGAATTACTTTTACAAAACCAAGCAACTGTAAAAGGAGAGTAGAAGAATACTTAGTATAATACTGGGATAGTCCTGTAAAACTGATGGAAGGACCTTGGGCTGCAACATTGTGAGGGGTATAATTTTTTTCCTCTCCTAAAATACAATATTGGACATCACTTCTCAAGGCATGGATGAAAGTATAAGAGGAAATGTTGGGGAAAAAAATTTAGTTCATGAGAGGGCAAAATACTGACCTGAAAGATTTTAGCTCTATTATTACACACATTCAAATTAATGCCAAGAACTCATATTTTAAATGTACAATACCATAGCAAGTGGCATAGTGTCACTTATGCTGGGAGTATATATAGTCTGGTTTCTACTTTTAATTAAAACCCTGAAGTGCTTGAAAAGATATCTGCTCCTTCTCATTTTTGTAATGGTAGCACCTAAAATCTCCATTCAAAGATCTTGATCCTGTCATGCCTCGCTCTGTATCTCTGTCACAAAGCCTACATTTATCTGAGATGTGACAGAAGGAAGCTGAAGTGCATCAGAAGAAGCATTAGTCTTCATCCATCTCATGTTCAACCATTGTCACTGTTCTTTACATTTTGTAGTAGAGATGGGCTTAAAAAAAATTGTTTCAAAGACATTAATTCACCAGGAAATGACTCAGATTGTGTTAGAGACTTCAGCTTCCTTTGAAGCAAATTGTCTTCTGACTTTGTTTTTGAAATTTGTTAATTTTTCAGCCTTATGTTCAATCATTGTTTCACTCTGAAGAAGCCTTGCAAAGAAAACTTGGGTCAGGAACAGATTGATATCAGCAGGTTTCTCACTAACTACTTAATAGTTTTGCAACTATTTCTTCTACCACAAAACATTAACAGTTTCTGAGCAAAAAAGTCCCCGCTTTCCCCTTCTTGCTATTGACATCCGTTTTGCAGTGCTTCCAATACTAATCAATATGTTCTGTTCCTTCCTTTTGCAGTAGGACAGTGTATCAGGAAACATTGAAGCAAAGAAGCTGATGGTCACCTGAGACGCTTAGGCGGTTCTCAGCTGTCTCACAGCCTCTTGTTTTCCAGTCTGCTCTTCCCTCTGTCTCTAAGACCATTTTTATAGACTAGTCCACTATATGAACCAGTACTCTGATTTGGTCCAGCAATTCCTTTCTGCTGTTTCTAAGCAGCTATGGGTGTTGTACAAAAAGTGGACAACCCGTCTTTGCTGCAGTTACAAACTGGAATCACAGTAAACAGCTGAAGTCTTTTGTTCCCCAAACTTTCGTTCTTGAAGTATATAGATCGCCTCATGGGATTACAGCCTCAGAAGCTGGTAAAGAAATCTGTCTGCAGGGCTGGTAAAGGAGCTTATAATTTGTGGGGTTGTGCTGCACATTAGAATAGGGCTAACAAATAACCCTCTTAAATTTTGTAGGGATTTCTCATGCAGCGATTGTATTATCGTCTCCTATCAAAACAGAGCACTAAAATACAGAATCTGTATTTGTGCAGCCTTTCATTATTTTCTGCTCTGAATGCTGTTATACCAAGGTGTTGCTTTTCTTCTAATGTGCATAGAGGAATTCCAAGAACACAGCTGCCTGGCTGGTTAGAGAGCCTGAAGAGGCTAGTGCTCTGCGTTGCAGGCTGGGCCCCTTATCTCTTTCAATACTGGGAACAGATGAGCCACTCCCAGGAATGAAACAGCTTTATCTCTTCTCAGTGAGCATGTTCCATGGAACCTGGTGGAAGTGCAAAGGGAAAAGGCTTACATGGGTCAGCAGCTGCTTTGCTTATAGGACCTGCTGCCTTGTGCAGAAGCCATTTGTTACCGAGCAGCTGATTAAAAACTTGCCTTACTGAAGCGGCAAGTTCTGGATGTTGTTGAATTAATCAAATCCCACTTCCTTCATTTCCCCTTCAGACTCTGGTGGAACTTTTGTTATAAGCTGTAGCCAATGGAATAATACTACAAAAAGTATTTGCTCACTTGAGAATATATTCTCTTTCATAATTAATTTCTAATTTGTGTAGGTCTATGCATGATAAAAAATAGAAAAATAGGCAAATAAGCTTGCAGAGCCACACAGAAGCATCTATAAGCATCATGATAGGAACAGTCAAAAATGAAGTTGGTTTTCAAAAGGTTGGTTGTCTTACGCCAGGTAGGCGCTGGCAGAGTGATGATTAGATGAATAAACATTCTGTCAGATGCTGCTACAAGCAAACCCTGAACACCATGTGTAAGCCAGACAAGATTTACGAACTCCTGTTTCGTAGAACATCCTACTTGTCATTTTGGGCCAATGGCAAGAGACATTTGCACAAGATACCAAACTAATTTTGTATTGGTAGAATCTGTGAACATGTGAACGAAATACTTTCACTTCTGTTACACCAAATGGAGCTGCAAGGTAAGAGTGCCCGCATGCTGCTTGCTTTATTCTTACTGATGGACTGTTAGATGCATGACTTTGGGACAGATTTGAACTGGAATAAAAAAGGAGAGGAAGAATTCTGGGGAGCACCAGAAATTGTTACCACCAGCTCTCATCCAGTTTTGGTTTCCAACCGAATAAATCAATCTGTTCCTAACTAGTGACAAGTGCAAGCTCCTCTTAGCAGTGACAAGTGACCGGTAAAGGTAAGAGTGCTTTTTTATTCAGGGGTTGCTAGAAGGGAGGTTCCTCTTAATTTTCCTGTTTGGAATTCCCCTTCAGCCTTTAACTTTCCTGCAGTGACTGGTCTGGCTCATTTCCTCCTTTCTGGTGTCACTTTCTATAAGCCCTGGGCAGTGATAGCAGCTATCCTCATTTTTTAGTACTGAATCCAGAGTGAAAGAACAGGAACTGTCCAGTTTCCTAAGGTCAGTTTTTCCTCAACTCTTGAATGCAGTGCTTTTGTCATGGTAAATGCATCTAATCTTACCTTTTGTAGGTATCAGTAACTACTGTGTGTCAGTATCTGGACTTGTATTGCTTGAAATATTAGTAGGATGAAGTCTGAATGCGGGTGAAATTTTGGAGAATTTTTAGCGATTTTGTTTTGTGCCTAGCCCTGTTACTTGCTCAAAAGGTTGCTGGAGTTTCAAACTTTGTTACGAACGTACTTGGTTTTTTGGTAAATGTTGCTCTTATAGAAAGTGAAACTGAGGATCATTGAGAGAAACTGGCTTATTTCCAGTTTTTTCGCAGATCTGGCAAGACAACCTAGTGCTTTACTTTCCCATTTAGGAGGGAGGGCTGAGATTCTGTCTTGAAGAAAGTCTCTGAGTGCAAATGTACTTTTTCTGCCAAAAAAGCTTATAGGCAAGGTGTCTGCTGTGCTGCTTTATTTCGTCTTACTGCTGGGATGGGAGAGCTGGGCACAGCTGTGACACATGAGGCGATACTGGATATGAAAAGGCAAATTCTGCTTTCAAATCACAACTCTGACACCTGCAGGACAGTACATTATTAGTCTGCCTAATAGCCTGTCTCCAGCACAAGGCTAGTAACGTTTCTTTTACCTGTTGTGTTGGTCACTATTCAGCTAAGTTCATTGAAAGGCAGAAGCTCCTTTTATCTGATATTTATACTTTTTCTAACTTCTTTAAACTCATCTCTAAGGGAGACAAAGGAGAATGTGGCAGGATATAGAGCAGCTTTTTATCCAGCATCATCTCTGTTCTTCTTCCTTTTTAGGCTATAAAGCCATGGGAAGTAACACGCCACTCCATCAGCAAGGTAAAGACTGTCGGTAAAAGTCGTATCTTTTATTAAATCGGGTAATACAAAAGGAAAAGTTAAACCAGCTTTCAGATGTATGAACTTTTCATAGATCTGAAATAGAAACTAAAACCTTCAAAGCTAAATATAAATAGAGCACCATTACTTGCAGTTTACGAATAATCAGGACATCTCTGAAAGGAAAATCTGTTTGGTACGTGTGGAGCAGAGGAATTGTTACTGATGGATTTGGGGAAAGGAAAGGGAAACAGGTGACTGTAGCATGGAGGGGACTTCATCCCTCCTTGCTGCTGGCTTGCCCACCTCCCAGACAGCATTCCCCCAAAACACTGCTTGCGGCAAAAGCCAGGAAACACATCCATGCCTTGTGGTGTGTGTGTTATGCACAATGACATAACCTTTGACGGGTGCGGAAGAAGAGAGACGACTTTCTAAAGTTGCTTAAAAAAAAAAGACTTTAAAATTGTGGCTGATGATACTGAGCTTTTAGCTCAAAGTACCAGTGTTTCACTGGACTCCTTATTTAAAGTTTGATATAACCTGGGTTTTGTCAGCTTGCTTCACTCAGATTCATGTGTAGCACTTAATGGGTCTGGGGTATTGGAAGAAAATAACATTTCTTCAGCAATCTTTGTGTTTAATTTTTCAACCTCCTGTCTTCACAGCAGTCCCGCTCTCTTATTTTTCTGTAATCTAAGACTTGGAGCTGTAATGTTATGTCATTCTCTGGTTAAGAAATGTGTGATTTGCATGGTACTACTACTCTTTTCTATGAATTATCCTCAGCTTCCAAAACTGGTACAAAAATTAAATTGCAGAGGGGTTTCCTGTGTTCCTGAAATGACTTTACATATTTTCATTTTCTTAACTTCTATACTCATGTGGGAGATTATTTTATTACCTGTCAGTTCAGATGTCAATAGAGTTTTGGGAAGGAAACCCCCTAACAAATCTCCTCAGAAGTATCCACCTTATTTTTGGAGTAAATATTACATTATTGTCTGTATAATCCTTCTCCGTTCTCTTAGTTACCATTTGATTTTAGTTAGTAGCAGACCCCATTGCCTGGAGTCTTTAACATGTTGATCCTTTAAAATATAAGACATGGTTAAATCAAATTTTTGGGGCAAAATAATAAATCACAATCCCCTCCCTTATCTTTAGAAATCTAAAATGCCCTGTCTAACTCTTAAGGCTTGTATGTGATTTAAGTGAACACCTGCTTCTTTTTTAACTGGATTCTTTGTCCTGGTATGGTGATGTTCACTGTTTCTTTTACTACTTTTCCAGCATTTTCAATTCATATGTTATCACTTGGACTCTGAAAGAGCACTGAAAAAAGCATTGAGAGTCTTAGAAGTGAATCATATTGTTGTGCTGTATATGCAGAATACAGCACTAAAACAAATGCATCCTCAGTAGAAACTTTGCTGTAGCAGGTGTGCACTGAGTCATTGCAGAGGTAATACAAAGGGAACACAGGTCTACCGAATATAGCGATGCAGCTGGAGTGTATAGGCTGCTGGAGAAAGGAGGTGTGATTTAAAGATTTAAAGAAAAAAAATCTGTCTTAACCAGTGTCCAAACAACAAAGGATTGAACTTTTTGTATGGCATGGAAATACATTCAGAAGTACGACCTGTTTTCCCCCGGCCCAGCACATGCACTTTGTGCATGGGGGCTGCCGCGAAGGAGAGCGCAGGCATCCCTGGGGGCTTCAGTCCTTTGTTTTGCAGGTCCACGTGGGATCTGTCTTCCTCCCGCTGAGAGCTGGCTCTAGTGTTCACAGCCCTAACACAGAAATTATTACAAAATTTTTTAGTCCTCTGATGTGAAAATGTGCCAAACACCCATTTTGGCAGCACTGTATGGGACCTCAAAGGGAATGTATTATCAGTAAACTAAGTTAAAATCACGTATGAAACAACAGAGAAAGTGCTGAGCAGCATAGAGCTTATTCATCTTTGGTCTCAGACAGGGGACTGCTGGGGTGCTGTGAGAAAACAGGGGAAGCCCTGGGAAAGGAATTGCTGTTATAAACAAGCTTGGGTTTGTGTGCTCCAGTTACAATATGCAGCGTAACGCTTGCTGTCCCTGAGGTGTAATTCTCCTTGCCTCTGGCTCTCTCGGCATAGAAATTTTCATCTTTCAAAAACTCACTTCTTTTTTCCTGCACCCTTGGACAGAGTGCTTTCCATGGTGGCACCATGATTTTAATGCAGCAAAGCACAGCTGCTATTAAGAATTTGTTGGTTCGGCTACAGAAAGAAATCACAGCATCCCAAATCCAGTGTAGTCAATAGAAAGCCAGCTACGTAGAGATTTGTGTCAAAACCAAAGTAATGAAAAAAAAAGAGGGTAAGCTGAGGGCCATTCAGACCAATGAAACAAAAAAGACAAGTAATCAAGTTTTTCATTCCTGAAAGAGTGGCAATCTTCATTCTTCCCAAGGTAGAAGGCTATGTTTCCCCTGTGCTCCTGGGTTATAGCGTTCTAATTTTACGTTCTAATTTTCAGCTCTCTAGCTGGACTTGGCACCGGCAAGACTTCCTCTTGGTTGCTTCCTGACTTCCTGACCTGTGTAGCTGAAAACATTTTGCATTACTTAGGTATTTATCCACTGGGAAATGCTATTGAAAGAAAGGTTTAAAATTACAGAAGCTCTTATGACTATGACTTAATTAAAGCTTAGTATTTCCATGAAGATTAAGTAGGCCTACTTAGTCTCTTTCCATAGGACTTGCCCTTTTCTTTGTCTGCTGAAATCAAGCAGTTTACTAATCACTGAACTTGGAGTGCTGCATTTGTCTGTCTTGCATTCCCTTTATGGCTTCTGCCCAATTACTTCTCTGTCTCTAACCCTAAAATTATATGACTCAGAGGTAATGCTTCAACAGCGTTATTCACAAAGTCCAGCAACCTGGCATTCTGAAGGGCCCAATTCAGTTTAGATTTTATGTTAATTCAACAAAGGAAGGGGCAAAGCAAAATGTTGCAACAAACTGAAAATTTAATCTGGTATGTTTATAGCCTCATTCTTGGTTCTCACGCAGGTTTGTCAACTTCTGCTTTCCATTTATATCATGGCAGGCAATAATATAAAATTTTTGTAATCTTGGTAACGTAATGAGGCCACACAACATGAAAAAGGAGAACTACCTGAGTGTAGGTTATTCCTACTCGTGGGACCTCACTGTGTCCACCCGCTCTTCTGAGTTCTGGCTCTAGATTACAGTGTCTTCTGCAACAGAACACAGAGAGGTCCATTTCCAAGCTGTTCAGAGGGACAACCCCAAAGAGGGGTAAGAGGAATGAAGATTAGTTTATAACAAAGCAGCATGTGGTAGTGTGTGACTAGGTCTACTCCGCCTTCTTTCAGAAGAGCTGCAGTGTTAGCTGTATTTTTCTTTTTTCATGTTGCAGGTAGACTTCCTGGTACAGCAGGTTGCTCCACATTTGCACAGGAAAGTAGACATGTGCAACCAGGGACATCAATGGCATTCTGCTAAAGGCAGAATATTTGAGAGCCGTATTACAGCTATCGTTCATTGCAAAATATGGTGCTTGATGCCAAGCTGAAACTTTTCATGGTTGTGGTGTGTGGACACCTATTTTAACAGGATATGGTCTGGAAATTTTGCTGGTTGTTCATTCCATGCTGGCATCTCAATATTATGGTGGAGTAAATTAGTTGGATCATCAGCCCAGGTGGCATTCGTATCAGTGATCTGTAAACACTGAGAAGCCAATATTTGATTTTGAAATAGTTTGATAAAGATGATGAATAACCAACAAGTAGTGTTATTCCACTACCTGTGGAATGCCCAGAAGGAATGTTTAAGCTTATTCTAGTGCCTGCTGCAGTAACTGGAAGGAAACAGAAGCAATTTAAAATGAGGTGGAGGAAGAGATAAACTTTATCAAGAAATGTAGCTGCAGCAGTCTAAGCAGTTCTCATATAAACATGGGTGACTGGGGCAGGGAGCACCTTAGATCAGTCAGATTTGGCTGGGTACTGTATGGCACTCTGCTTGAAAGGCTATAGCAATTCCCAACTTATGAGTAGGTACGTGCATGAGTTCTGAGGGGGAAAGAAAATTGATTAAAAAATAATTGTGATAGATTCCAAAATGTCAGTGAGTGCCCTGTTTACCAGAAACTAATTCCCAAGGTGACCATGCCATTCTGTACACAATCAACTATATGGTTTGGGAAAGAATTATATAAAATAAGTGTTCTACCTTTCACTGTTCCTTCTTGGGCTGAGGTGGCACTTTCTCCTAGTGCCACCTCCAGGGCTTAGGAACTGGGTGTAGCATCCCAGCCAGAAGCTGCTTCCCCTGAGAAGAAATTGTCCTGACAGTAAAGAATGGGATTCTTCTTCCATCCTTTTCACTGCAGTTTTCCGATTTCCCCAATATCTGCTGGATCTGTGCTTGCATCATTTATAACCTGATAAAAAATACAGGAGTTGCAACTTATTCAGTACTTGGCACTTTTGGTCCAGGAGGTCAGACTGCAGTATCCGACTGCCCTGGTTGGAGTAAAAAAAAGGTAAGTCTCATTGCAAGCTGTATCTGGATCTAGAAGTTTAAGTAACTCAGGGTTATAACTCAGTGCAAGACTTGGTAAGCAATACCAGTTCCACAGCCTTAAGATCTCAATGCCTTGTCAACAGAAAGCCAAAGTGCAGGACTTGTAGTTTTGCTCGACAAAAGCTGTGGTTTTATCATAGCTAAGTGTTTTGCAATTTGATTTCAGACAGCAAGAGACAAATCATGGATTCAGCATTTGTGTCTGAAAATGGCTATCTTGATTTGCTGCACACTGATATCGATCCATTGCATCTGTATACTCTCCTTGATCCTAAGTCATCTGGAAATGAAGAAGGTGACTTCTCTGCAGGTTGGTAAAACACTAAAAAATGCTTGATCAGTTTAGTCATCATGCTATAAGTTATTACGTTTCCTCTCAATTACGTAGCCATCTAACGACAGTTTATCATGATGGCTGTACTAAATTCAACACTAGGTCTTACGATATGATACCTTTGTCTGTATCTGTATATAAAATAGTGACTGCTTCCAGAAACGATGATGTTTTTAAAACTGTACATATTTACAGCTTCCTGCTCAGTGAGTCTAACAAAACATACTATACATGTCACTCATCAAGGTGTGAGGCTAATGTCTTTGGTTTGGATATCATTCCTGTAAGTAGTTTATTTGCAAATGTTCTTATCGTAAGCTGGTCAAGTGTAATTGTCAACACTTTTGTAGTTTCAAGCCAAAAGCTTTCCAAAACAAGAGATTTTTAGGTAAGTTTGTGATGAAGCCAGTCTGCAAGCAAACTAGCATTTCATTTCCTTCTGAAATCCAAAGGCACCAACACAATGGACTTTCATTGCCAGATGCCATTTTACAGCTTTTGGGGGCACAGCCCAATGATTTTATGATTCTGTGATAGAGCAGAAAGCAGAAGGGCCAGGGCATAAAGATGATAGTTTCTTGCATGTAAGTTCCTACAGATAATCAAATTAGGAGGTTGTTCTGGCTCTCAAACTTTCTGCTCCTGAATTTGTGTCGAGGTTGTGTAACATTCTGCTCTCCCTGAGTTTGCTGGCATAAAGATATGAAAGTGTACCTGTGCTGCTGACTGTGTTGTGGAGTAATAGCTGAGCTTATTTTAAACAAACAAGCTGGACTGTGGGTTGAAAGTGGCAATGAAAGGAGAAGATCAGATGTATGCCAGATATGAAGTCCTATAGCTCTGTGCCCAATAGATATAAAACGTTACCAAATTGGAGGATACCACCTCACATCCTTGTTGCTTTCATGACTGACCAGTGTCAGCAGGTACATAGGCAAATCAGTGCAGAACTGAGCACCAGAATCTGGAATCATCTTTGTGATTAATTATTTCCCAGGTTGAGCTTTGCTGTCTCAACTTCTGACTGTTAATAACAGCTGCAGGAGTGTTTCTTCACTCCCATGGCCTTACTTGCTCGGTGACTGAAAGTAGGATGAATTAGGGATCAAGGACTGACTCTTGCTATATCAGAGATGTTTCACTGATTTGAATACTTTAGAGCCTTAGCAATGTCTGAGATTATGTAGATAAATTGAACATTGTCAGGACCTGGTGCCAGTTATCGGAAGCTGGACATCTCTGCTGTGAAGATGTTAGCATGGTCCCTGGCATGTTTTTGGCCTTGGCCAACTAGCAGCTTCACAGGCAATTTGTAGCTGCTGTTCAGGGGTTAGCACGGACCCAGCATCGTTCTGAACAGGGAATTTGGACGGTACCACTATATCCTGAAGAATAAGAAGGTTTAATAGTACGGATGAGTCTGGGCCATGCGTATAGGCCTTATGTCATAGAACAGATTCGGGAACTGTTTTATTTACTAAGAGGGATGAAGTCTCAGAGTTTAGCAGAAGAAAAGTATTGATTTCTGGGTGACTATAAATTACTAAGAGTTCAGTTCTGTTCCTACTTAGCCAACATACAATGAGGAGCCAAAGCCTTATGCTGAAGTAACATATCTGCCTTTTCTGCATGTCCTGCTATCTGGTTTTTTTACTCCTTGGTTATGGTATTCATTCAGCAAATGTGTACTGCTTTTTAATTCTAGATCCTGAAGTTGATGCCAGCAACTATGATCAGTTCAATAATATGGATTTCCTGTGTACAATGGAAAGTGGTGAAAATGGGGATGAACTGTATCTCTGTTCCAACACCATAGAAGCTTATGCTAGAATAGGTATGAAAGCAATTTTTGTTTTTTAAATAATTATTTTCTAATCACTTGCTATAGCTATTTCTTACAAATTTTATTTTCAGTCTAAAGCAGTGGCATATACTCAAGTGGCCTGTCCCTCATGCATGGTAGATCTAGCCAGGGTACCTAAACCTGTGCATTGTGGGGAAAGAGATAAACAGTAGCTTGTGGTTGTTGGGGGAAAATCTCTCTATTAATGGCTCCTTCCGCTTAATACTTCCTGTATCAACTTCTCCTTTCTCGTGTTCTTTATTTCCTGAACAACAATTTACAAGAAAAACTTAATTTAACTCTTCAATTTCACTTATACTGCAGAATTCTGTTAATGAGGGTAAGCTTACAAGAGTTTTACTGTGAAATGTACTGTGTCATTAATGTGTTCCTTTTTTTTTTTGCTTCTTGCTAGCTGAATTAGCAGAATATGTGCTCAAAGATCAGCAGGAGAAGCAGGTGGAAGACACTTTTGGTAAGATTTATGTGGCAAAGATTAATTTCTCTGTGACTGTTCTGGCTAACATCTGCATTGTATTTCATCCCCACAATTTGAACACTAGTAAGATTTCTATACATCTGGTATCCTCTTCTTTCCCCCTGAGAACTGTGTCCCAAGATTTTCTTGGCAAACTTCTGAGGATTTTCTGTATTTTTGCAGGCCTTTCTCAAAGATGGCAGTTTTATCTCTGACCAAGTTGCTGATCACGTCACTATGGACATAGTGTATGCACAGCTTAACTGTCTAGTGCAGTATGTGCCCTCAATTAGCATCAGACTTATTCTGAGCACAACACGGATGATGTACATAAGTTCATTAAACCTGACTCACCCAGGGGACTTAGCACACGTATAAATGCAGTTCACGCACACTTATTTCTGTCCAGGATGCACAGAACTGCCTGAGGAAGCATGTCAAATTTTACTTCTCTCCATGATCAATGCAGCAATGGTATAATATACATGTAGTAAATGATTCCTTCATTCAGTGTTTGACCAGAGATAATTGCTTGGCTCTTGGTACAAAATAATTGTTTTGCTAGTGACACAAATGCAGCTGTTTACTATTTGAGAATATATATATTAATATGTGGCTGTTGGGAAATCCATAGAATCAGAAAGATTCACAGAATATCTGAATATCCTCTTTTATTCTGTTTTATGTTTGAACAAAGTAATTGGGAATAACTTAACAAAGGTCAGTCCTTCCCTAGTACAATTCTGACTACAGGAAGCTCACATGACTTTTTAAATGCTTTCTACTGCTCCCTGGTGTGTTTAGAATTTGAGGGGGTTTGCACCTAATGGCAAAATTTATATTGGTTTTAGAGGAAACGAGATACAGTATTAGTACTTAAGTATTTGCCAGTAGAAGAATGGTATGAATAACTTCACAGTTCCTACAACACAAAAGATAAAATCTGTTTAGAACCCTTTACTCTGTCTCTTAAAGGATTTAATCCTTTTCGTACATAAAATGAGTAACTCAGTAACTTTACTAGTACTGAGATCACACTGTGATACAGCTGTGAGGTTTTATCCTTTGTTCATCATTAGAGCATTGAGAAGTATTTATGTTTTATTAGCCACTGAATTTATGGCAGTAGATTAATATTTTGCAGTTCAGAAACTAACACAAGGTGACAGAATTTGCATTCAGAGCTCTGTGGGCTTTCTAAATCGTATCGCTCTGGATATTTGTTTTATCACGTTATTTGATTTTATCTTTTATTTGGAGCATATTTCATCTTTGCTGCCTGTTGGTGTGTTTCTCTTGCTTCTACCTCTTTCCATAATTTTTCTAGGAGGACAAAGGTTGACATTTGGCAATATTTCATGTTTTTAGCAGGGAACCTTATTCTGGATGAAGTGGCTGCTGATAACACTGAGAAATTTACTGACATTAAGATGCAGAGATGTCACAAACGAAGTAAGTGAAAAACAGTGAGAGTTTGAAAGGCTGCAGTGATTAAATTCTAAATTTGCATTACAGTACTTTGGTTTTAACACAGCCTCAATGCATCTCTCATGTAGTTCTTCACTGATACAACCAGATGTGATTCCTCTGACTTTGCTCATTCTGTGTGGCTGGAAGTGAAAACAGCTCCCCCAAGCACATTATTTACAATTCGCACAATTTGTTGTCCTGTAACATGACATTAAGCATGTTATATTTCTTCCCTTTTTTTAATCATCTATGTGACAGCATTAACTTTGTTTTCAGTGTATCTATAGCTTAGCAAGCATTAGCTGAATTATTCCCTTTTTAATAGCAAGAACTACAGCAAAAATCTTTGATTACTGGCACAAAAATATGCAGCCTAATTGAAACTTCATGGTCAGAGTAAAATAATATGAAGCTGTTCACATTCATGTTTTATACATTGGACCTGTACAGTTCTGAAATAGCTGAATTGAAACTGATTACACCCTCTTCTACTTTAAAAAGTTAAAATAAGTTTCCATGGTGGAAACTTAAAATTACCAAACTGGTTCAATTTTTGTCACTTACTGTCACCTTTCTTTCTTTCAGCCTTCTTAGGTTCTGCAGAGAGTTGCTCTGATGCTTCAGAACCCAAATACAAGAAAAATGGTAAGTTATTGCTGAATAGGAAAAGATTATTGAACATATATTGTCTCATGTTCCAAAGTCTCATCCCCTTTTAGGTATTGTAACTCTACCTTCTAGGGAAAGTTTGCTCTCATAGATTTGATGATACAGCATTGTCATGCATTTTCATGTTTCTACTTCCAACAGAGTAGAAATCACTGTAGAATCCCATTCTGATACACCTCTGATTAATTCATGATGCAACAAATCCATGCCCTCTTATCAGTAGCTATTAAACTGTGCCTCTTAGGACCAACTACATGGTACCCTGGGAACAGTTGGATCCTTATGCTTCAAAAGCACATGTTCCTGCCAGGTGATAGAAAAATTACTTCCTTAGCATGAGCAGAGGCACAGTTGAACTTTTCTAAATCCATCTGAAAGAAGAAAGCAAAACAGTGGAGAATTGAGTCAGTGCCGAATTTTGTAATTTTTGTCACGTACACCTTTTGTTTCTGATGGGTAATATGACTCAGGCCATAGTTTGGCATTTCCTGGTTTGATCCTCTTTGTTCTAAGTGTGACACCTTCCAAAAATCTAGTGAAACATCCTAGTGAAAATAACAACTGTGAAGAGACAGCTTCTTGGCCCAGCCCATCCTATACAGTCCTTTAAATCAAAGTAAGAATAGGAGAAAGGGAGATTTCTAGGTGTTGCATGCTGTTAGACCATCTACAAGGCAGTACCTGTGGCCAGCAGGCAGGCTGTAACTTGTTCCCTAGGTGTAAACTGGTGCTAAAGTTCTTACCCAGCTGTAGCCTAAATGGGTGTCTCAGGCATAGTTAAACCAGCAAAATACTCTTCCAAAATCCATGTGAGAGCAATCACCTTTGGATGAATATATTATATTGTGTTTTGAAGTGACATATGCATTACTGTATGCTAGCACACTTCCCAAGCCTCCTAAGGGGAACTCTGACTGTACCAAACCCCATGGGCCATGTACATGTCAGGGTGGGCAGCCAAAACCAGTGTGTAACCTAGAGAGCCATCCAGAGAGTGCTTGGATCGTGGGACTGCACCTCAGCAAAATTCAGGCCGGCAATTGCCCAGCAATTACTAAGGAACTGGCATAGACTGGATGAAAGTCATAGAGAGCACACACATGCACTGGGACTGTGACCCAAACTGGTTTTCCAATGTTCCTGTGGACTTCTGGGGAGGGATTGAGCAGAATTAGCTGTGAAAAAAATACTTTTGCTGGATCTGGAAAGGTAATCAGAGTTCCTACTGAACTGGTACCTGCCGGTTGTAGTTATTCAGACACAGATAAAGTTCCTGGCAGTTAGTACCCATTAAAGGTGGATTACCTTCTATCTGCTTAAATTTCTGTATAGATTTGGCGCTTTTTAAAGCCTATGTTTATGCCACACTAACAATGAGAGTTTTCAATAAGGAAATGGCTCATCAGGTCCTGATTTAAAAAAAAAAAACAAAACCAAAACAGTAAAAATGTCTCGCCCTACAGAGCTTGCATTTCAGTCTACAGTATCATCACAGAGCTAACAGTGCTTTGTAAAGCTGCACCTATCCTTTTCCTGAAAGTGCTCAGGATATTATCACTCGCTCTACCTTACTTGACCCAATGCAGGTGCTGAGGGAAGGAATATATACATAAGGCAGTATAAGTACTGGGTACAAAAAATCTAATTGACAGAAAGATGAGCTACATGACAAAATCAGGAATTTATTTAATCTGACATAAAATGAGTGTCACAGTATGATCCTGCAAAGGCAAATGCATCAACTCCTCAGAAGTGTAAGACTATCTACAGTAAAGAAGATAATGTGTACTAAAGTTCAGAGTGGTAAGCCAAGGATGAGATTCTTTCAAAGGAATTGAATGAAATTAAACTTTAGATTTGCCCAATTGTTTGTGGCTAGCTATAACAGTACCTGATCTTATCTGACCATAGCAACACAACAATCCTTGGATAGGAAATTATGTGGGAATTTCACATGCTGATTGACATACAAGCTGAAAAACACTTTTTAAAGTCTGTTTTTATACCACAGTAAAAATGAAAGATTCCTATTACAAAATAATACATCAGTTCCTGATAAAAAACATAAACACATCCTAAAGAGCTTGCATTCTAGATGACAGTGTACACTATAGTGGCACAAAACCCACACAGGTTTGTAGCTCCTGATGAAACATTAGACTGCAGAAAGCGATGAAATAGAGACTTAATTGTTGCTGCTAGACAGGAGGGGGAAAGAAAAGCAAAATCAACTCTGATCATAAGGGTGTGGCAAAACCAAGGAAAATAGCAGACGCAAAATAAGCAAGTGTATCTTACTTGATTTGTAAGAAGCTTTCGAAAAGCAGATGAAATCATACAATGCACATAAGTCTCCCTCCCCATTTGTCCTCTTCATGAAAAAAACAACTGCTGCAGGCAAGTTGCATCTTTTAAAACTCAGGTGTTTGTGACGGTTCTTTGGGAAACCCTCTTAACAGACTAGTTATCCTTATAAGCACTGTAGTGTCTAAGTAGAGAGTCAAGGTCCTCAGTTTATTGTACTTGGGCCTCTCTAGTCTTGTGCAGTATTAAGGTAACAAACTGTTTGGGAAACTTAGTACAGCCAATGTAAGACCTTATTAACTGATCAGAATCAAGTGGTTTATGATATCTATTGAAACCTCTTCTTTGGCCTTAACTTCTAGCAATGAAATAACTGTCTCCTTTTGTTTTGCTTTTTTTCAAGTGGAAGTCCCTGCAGTGTCTGCAGGAAACGGCAGTTTCTTAGCTATGCCTCTCAACAGCCATCCAGCTAGCTCCACCTCACTAACTAACCAGCACTTGTCCTTTTCTGTTCCCGCTACCAATATGTTGGAAAGAAGTTTCGTAATTCCTGGTATGTACAGTACAGCCAGGTATGTACAGTACAGGTGTACACCTGTACACAGGTTGATTTATACAAGGGGAAAACACTCTTATAAATCTGGTCATTGACCATGAACAATGGCAGGGAAAACAAGTATAGCAGCTGTTTCAATCAAGCACTTAAAAGTGTGGTGCTCACTAAAAGAATGAAAAATATTCAAGGGAAATTAAAAGTGCATTGCCCCAATGAAATAGAATGAGTCTTTCATTTAATTAGTGAAGTGCAGGTTAATAAATAAGAGAACAGAGCTATTTACTATATGCTAATCTAAATAATTACTTACTTGTCTTAAGAATAGGAAATCACAAAATTTTCATTAATAAACTTCAGTTTAGTTCCAATTTCTTTTTCATCAGAGCTTTGTAAAGGACTGCAGGATAATTATATTTGCAATAGTAGAGCAAAATTTAGGTTGGAATTTTGTTCACAAAAACTGGGTACTAATCCAAGTGATGGGCTGTGTAGCCACCTTGCCTTGATCATGTTGTGTTGCAGAGGGTGCTCATGGTAGACTGGACAGACACAATTCAACACCTTTCTCTGTTAAATCTGTGCTGGAAAGGAACCAAAAAGCAGTGGATAAGTTAGAAGTCTTGAAGTATCTGATGCTAGCTGAAACAGCACAAAGTAGCAGAAGAAATTCTGTCGCATCTACAGAAACTCAGAGCTATGGCTGATTAAATTGCAAGCACTGCATCATCAAAAAAATTTCCCGGTGCGGGTTCAGAGGGAGGATGCTTGCTAGCTGTTTGTACAAGCTGCATGATGTGCAATTTTGTGGGAAAGATGTAGTGCAAAGGACGATAAAATTAATTCAGATACATAGTATTTACACATTTTCTCTCTTCTGGATCTCTGGTCCATACATTTACAGACTTTTCCTTAAGCTCTTTTCCTTATGTTAATAGAATTTCTCTTTAGACTATCCAGTGGTCACTAAAAGCTGGGTAATCCTTGTATTTCACATTCATCATACCTTTTAAGAGTTTTTGTTTAATGGATTCTGTGGACCTCATGTGATCCTATGAATTCTGGTTCGTATACTGTCCACTGGGAATATTTGCCCAAAAGCTGCCAGAAAGGATAAGTAGCTTTTAGAAAGCTTTTTCTTCCTTAGAAACCTTTAGAAACCAGGAGCCTTTAAAAGCAGAAGAATAATTATTCTGCACTTATTTCAGGATCTTCAGCACCTTTGATTCCAGAATGTCTACCTGTTGGCATGAAAGGGAGACAAGAGAATACAGGCTTTGCAGATCCTCCTCAGCAGATACTTAACTTTGTTCTTGGAAATGGCACATCTGAGGTTATAATATATCCAGGTAAGAGCAATAACCCTTTATCTACAAAAATAGGCAGAAAGTACTGGAAAATCAATGCTGTCAACAAAGTACTAAGTTCCCTCATTTCAGTTACTGATAGCTATGATAGGCTGAAAACTATCATTTGTTTCTTGCCAGTGCTGACTTCTTCCATGGAAACATTGATATCCCCAAGTTTTCCAGTTAGTTTATGTGGTAAGTAGAAAATGAATTTTTATATATACAGTACTTTGGATTGGGAGAGAGAGCTTCTACCCAAAGCCAGTTCTCCCCTCCAGGCTTTACTCATATTGACTTTATTGAGGAAAATAAAAATTAATGACATTTCCTTCTTTGTATTGATCACTGGCTGCTTAGTCTAGTCCAAAATACAGAGCAGATACAGGGATGTAGAGCTACAGGTTCAGCTATGTATTAGCAGCCAATCCACTGTGTTTGCTATGAAGTCCAGTTTCTGGAAGAAGTCTTCTTGTCTACTTAAAACAATACAAAAGCTCAGTATGCTTGAGCACCATAAGAAGTGGAAGTTGTATTCGTACTGGCATGGCCTGAGCATCTTAAATGCTCGGTGCTGGAAGCAGACTGCAGTCAGCTCACATGGAAGCTCCAAAACCAAAATGATGACGACTTATTTAACTAAACAATACAGAAGCCTAATATACAGAAAGGCTTATAAAGAAATCAGAACCTTGGTCAGGGTATAACAGTTCCACCTGTGGATGCAAACTTACCTCAGACACTTTTCTTCCAGCCCACAGAGAGCTGCTAGAACAGGGAGTTTGATTTCATTGGTTATTTAGTTTCTGATCTCTGTGTACCCTGGTGATTACAGCTGCTTGCAGCTTAATACAAGTGTTTTGTTGCCCTCTGGTGGCTAACACCACCCAAAATAGCAAAATCTTAAAGTGGGGATTAATAGGCAAATACCCCAGGTTTGGCGAAGTATTTGTGAATGATATATACCGTTTATGTGAATACACAATACTAATAATTCCAACTGATTTACGGCAACACAACATATGTGAGTATGTCGCAAACCTCAGATCTCCAAATACAGCAGAAAAATTAGCACATAAGCTAGCAAGCCAGGCTCTTCTCCTTTTTTAAAATTATTAACACCTGATTGATTTGACCAATGCTGCTTCCCATCTAAATGTCTCATTACAGCTTTTCTTGGTTTTCCATTCTGTTGTTTTTATTTAATAAAATAAATAGTAAACTGAAAACAGACACTTGCCTGAGAACAGGCATGTCCCCTCTTTATTTAATATTTTAACTTGATTTTTCTTCTACAAGGAGGAGAGCTATCTCTATATCAAATGTATTCTTTCACTGGAAAGAGGACTTGTTTATTAGAAATCTGTGGGTCCTTACCTGCTAGAAGCAGCTCTGAACTCTAACCATTCCACCTGTTGCTGGCATGCAGGGTAGGAATTGATTTCCAGATCTTTGAAACTTTAACATTTCAATTTTTTTTTAAACCACATTCTACGTCAGATGAACCAAATATTATGGTAATAAATACATTTATACAAATCCAGGAAGATTAACCTGTTTTGGTTGGTTTTTTCCTCCACATCTTTGCTGAGTGTGGTTAACCGTGAGACTATTGATGAAGGGGATCGAGTGCTCCCTCAGTA